AGAGAGAGGAGGTAGAAGAGTTTTGTTATTCTGCAAACAATGCTCATCAACCATGCACTTGTGGCCATAAGAGCAATAGAGTTACAGATGTGGAAAACTTTTTTTGGAGCGGAGGGGGTTCTTTTTGAGACAGGGTCTCGCTAGGCAGTTCAGGCTGGCCTTGAGCTCACTTTGTAGCCCAGGCTGGTCTTGAACTCTCAATGATCCTCCTGCCTCAGCCTCCTGAGTGCTGGGATTACAGGCGTGCGCCCCCACGCCCGGCCTAGATGTGGAAAATGTTAAGGAAGTGCACTAGCGCGGTGCATCTGTAATCCCAGCATTTCAGAGACTGAGGCAGGATTGCTGCAAATTCAAGGCCAGCCTGGGCTATATAGTGAGACCCTGTCTCAAAATAAAACCAACAAAACAAAACAAAGAACAAGAAAAATAAAACCCAGGGTAGAAATAGGGAGTATAGGTATGTATTTGCTATGAACTCACAGTCCTGGTCTCCTCCTGAGAGCTCTCTCCAGTTCTTTTCTCCGGATGTTTTCTTGTCCCCTGATACTCTTGCCCAATCCTCCTCTGGTCCTCCTGTTAGAAAGGGGGGTCACCCACGCCTCTTAGCTGGGAGATTAACCCTTTGTAAATCAGGTTAAAAAACGGCCGTACTCCTTGTCCCTGCTGGTAGGACTTGGAGACACAGCAGTTTAAGCATTCACTCGCATACCAAACTTCTCCAATAAAACTACAACTGAAACTGCATTTGGTTAGGATTAACAGAGGCAAGTATGTCCCTTTTTTTTCCTTTTTCCTTCAAATAAACTGTCTTCTTTTACTTAAAAAAAAAGATTAATAGAGTGGGTATGGTGGCACACACCTGTGATCCCAGCACTCTGGAGACAGAGGCTGGAGGATCACCATGAATTTGAGGCCAGTTGAGGCCATATAGTCAGCTCAAGATCAGCCTGGATTACATAGCGAGACCTTGGCTCAAAACAAAACAAAACAAAATAAAAACTGTGGTAGAATACACAGAACCCTAAATGCACTATCTATCTCCACCATTATTAAATTCGTTGGTGTGGGACACTGTATTCTCTCTTGCCTGGTGGCTCTCCCACAGGGTATACTTATTTTCCTTGGCCACCAAACTTGTTCTGCAGCCCAAAAATATACATATTTTTACGTGGCCCAAACTTGTTCTGCAGAGGCTGTTTCTTTTCCTTTATTTATTTATTTATTTATTTTGTTGGTTTTTGTTTGTTTGTTTGTTTTTTGAGATAGGGTCTCACTATGTGGTTCAGGCTGGCCTTGAATTCACTATGTGGTCCAGGCTGCCCTTGAACTCAAGGCAATCCTCTTGCCTCAGCCTCCTGAGTGCTGGGATCACAGGCACGTGCCACCACACCTAGCTTCTTTTCCTACGTTTAATAAAATTTTGCTACTATTTTTTTTTTTCAAGTCCATTAGTGTTGAGAATCTTCACATTGTTGTGCACCCAATCTCAAGAACTTTTTTTTT